AAATTTAATAGTATTATTTTTTAAGAATAAGAGTGAAATCTAAAACTGTTCTAATAACAAAGAAATTAAAATTATGGGTAATAATATAAGAATTCGGATAAAAATGATAGAAAGTCAAATAAGACGTGAAATATTATTTTTAAAAATAATTTTATTTTTATGATTAACAATTGAAGCCATTAATTCGTTAAGATAGTTAATTAAACAAAATATAGAGAAGAAGAAATATTTTCATATGGTCTTATTGATTCAATTCTTCAAGATTTGTTATTGTGTGTTTTATTAAAAAAAATATTTCTATTAGTTATATCAATATTGTAAAGCATATGTACAAGTCACATAACATAAAAGCTAGAATGAGCACATATAGTGAATTGTCTATTTAAGGATCTATTTTAAGTCATTACTTTTTTTATATTAATTATAAATGAACGTAAGTAATTTTCATAATAAATCTTCTTAGTGTATTTATCTACCGATTATATTATTTAATTTATGAGAGTTTTAATAAAAATTAATTTTAAATATTAGTCATAGATATTAATTTTGGAAAGCAAAATTTAAAATTAAGTAGGACTAAGGCTTAATATATGAGATATAGTTTTATTAATATTAAGCGTAGACATGATAATCTAATAAAGTTAGAGAGTTTTATGTGATTATCAGTTATCTCTTAGTTTAAAGAATTATATAAAACTATTGTTAGATCAATTATACTTTATAAATTCGAGTGTTTGGTAATTAAAAATAATAATAATATATATACAACAAAAAAAAAAGTTTACTAAACTGAATCACTGTTTTCACAGATGTGATGAAGATCACTGATTCTTTCCAAATAGTAGTCTGCATGCCTCAGTCAGGAGAAGATAGGGTATGAAGATAGATAGAAAGGTTCAGATGGCTGTATGCCTTTCCATTCGGAGGCTTCAACTCTTAAGTAGAACAATTTCTTTTATGAAAGCAGGTTCTGAGGTTTACTTTAATGCCTCGTCTGGTTTATGATCTAGCATTGTGTGGCAGGCTGATGGCAGCAAACTGGCATCACAGTTCTCATGGAGATTGGACCAAGAAAAAGAGACTTGGATGGATCCCTTCTTTGCTTACACGATCCATGATAATTATGCCCCCATTATTCTAGTGAAACAAGGATCCATGGCAAGAGGCATGGTGTTGTTTATGAGTTGACTTAATTTGGCTTGTGATGTATTCAGTGTTTGGATCAGAAAGAAAGATCATTAATCCATCAGAAGTAATAGCTTTATGAGTGTTGTTGTACTTGCTAACCAGTGATCCAACTGAAGAGAGAGAATAAAAGCCGCTTGGCAGTGGTGATTCATTCGTAGGAGAGCTCGAGAGAAGGCCATCGACTTGCAACTGAACCATGAAACGCGTCTGTAACTTTGATCGCGTAGTTATTCTCGGGCTTAATCCTTGATGGTCGAGAAAGGCCGGACTTAGGCCTGCTTCCATGGGTCTTTCTCTCATCAATCAAACACCACACTGCTCCTTGCCTTGACCCATGGTCAATGGAAGACTTCAGCATAGGCTTCGAGACCCACTCTTCATGTCTCCGTTCTGCGGGAACAGAGAACTTATTGAGACGTATGTGAACAGTGTTCCACCAGAGACTTGGAAGTCAAAGTGAGGTGACGGTCGACAAGACGTCAAAGTCAACAGTCAAATCGTACATGCCCGAAAGCTACAGGAGGGCTGCCTCTTTTACTTACCACCTTCTTCTTCTTCTTCTTCTTCTTCTTCGCAGCCATGGCACTGTTTTTTGCTACCCTCACCAAAGTTTCTTGCTCGACAGTGGTCTACGAAGAACACCGGACCACGGGATTTGGCTTCTTGAGGTGGATCGTACAGTGAAGATTTCTCTAGTCGTTGCTTAGTGTTTCTTTTTTCCATCGGGTTAATTAATGTGTGCCAACAGTTATATGTTTTCATTGCGGTAGAGTGAGTCCACGAAGAAGTCAGTGGCATTAGCAGCGGTCGGTTCTTCCTGCTCTGGAGACGGGGAGAGATAGAAGGCAACATGCTGTGTTAGCTTGGTTTACGTGTTAGACCTGCCTCCTAATTCGAAGATCGTGGGGTCCGCATGGGACCAACCATTCGGAGCATCGACAGCTTTCCATTTAGAAGCCAGGTAGTAAGAGACACAGGCGATGTATTCTATTTGGAGGAGACGGGGAAGAAACAGCACATAGTGACACAGGCGATGTATTCTATTTGGAGGAGACGGGGAAGAAATAGCACATACGACACCGCAAAATCTTACGTGACGGCCCCACAGCGGATCAACGTGGTGCCATTCCCGGGGATGTCGTTTGGGTGTCGCTTAAAAGTTGGTGGTTCGGTCGCCCCTTTATTTCTCGTAAAGGATGGCATTGACTTTGACTCCAAACTTACACGACGGGGGCGGTGGAAAGTGATGCTTTGGTGCAGGGGGACATTACCCGGTAGCATTCTTACCGCAGAGCAAACATAGAGTCGAGTGATCTAAAAGCATATAAATTACTAGTTCACGTTCTTCTTCCTTCTCTTCTTTGGAATATATTATTGCTACATCAACCAACGTTGGACTCATGTGAAGGAAGGAAGAGTAGAAAATGTGTGGTCGATGGATACATAGGCCACAAACCTTAATGTTGGCGTGCTTCGTAGAGTAGCATTGGACATGTGAGTGATGGAAATGCAGGCATGCAGTCAGCACACTAACACAGCCCAAGATGACAAAGGGAAAAGACCAATATGGTTAGAAAAGCTGTCGATCCTTAGGAAGACGAATACGAGAAAAATAATAAATGGGTATGGCTCTCATGAGTACATGTCTGACTTGACATGACCCTTTACACCAAGGCATGTGGACATTGCTCTTGTGTCTCCAAGGGACCGCCTTATTAATACAAAGAGAATATATACATTTATATGTATATATATATATAGAGAGAGAGAGAGAGAGAGAGACAGAGACAGAGACATAGATAGAGAGAGATGAGACAAGTGTCGACAGCATGGGCAAGTTTTGTTTCCGAGTGATTTTATTAACGAAGGGTGTAGTGTCTGCACCGACCAGAAGACTTTGGGGTAGGGAGAGACCGAGTTCTCCGTCTCCTGAGAGAAAAGAGAACGAGAGGGTCGATCGGGAAAGGCATGGAAAAGGTGATTTGTACGTCCTACGGACAGCTTTCTCGCTTCTCAGATCTTGCATGCACGCAATGCCAACGTAAAGTTCTCCCTTGGAAGTAAAATTTACGTATATATGTACCCATGTCATCACCGTCGATGGAGTCGTATATCATCAGAAACTCAGACAAAGTATTCGCCTTCTTTATACTA